GGGTGAAATCAGGTCGGGTCATTATTAGTTCCAGTCAAAATTGGTTTGGATTGAATTGGGTCAATTTGGGAAGTTTTACCCAATTTGAAGCATGTTTCAGTTCAAATCATATCGGGTTAAAGTCAAGTAAGATCGTTATCGAGTCGAGTTTATCAGATAAAGGGTAGGAACGAGTCAAGTTATAATCGAGTTATTAAGTCTTAAATAAGTTGGGTTTATCGAGTAGTGGGCTGAAACAGATCAGAACATAAATATATTGAGTTACGAATTGTAAATGGCTTAGTCATAATGGGTTATGGGATGTAAACGGTTCAGTCTTAACGGGTTACGGGTTGTAAACGGTTCAGTCTCAACGCGTGACGGATTGAAAACGATTTGGTCCTAAGGTTATAAACGGTTCGGTCACACTGGGCTACATGTTAGAACAGTTTAGGTTTATCGGATTTTTGCCAGGTTTAAACGGTTTTCGGTTTAAAATGGGTTGGCTTACTATCGGGTTCGGAGGTAATCGGTTTGGGTTGCTTTTGGTTTTGGGTTGTAACGATTCGACTTGATAAGGGGTCGGGTTATCAACGTTTTACACAATTCGGTTCAGTTCAGTTTTGGGTTGGAAAAAATTGGGTTGGGTCTATCGATTTTCCACTTCTAGAAAATAGGCTATTTTCGAATTTCCGTCGGAAACACCCTGTTTCCCATCGGAAAACGAGTTTCCGACGGAATTCCGTCGGAAACAGTTGTCGCAAAAGAATTTGTAGGAAAAATGACATTTTCTAACGGAATTTTCGTCAAAACCCGTTTTCTGATGGAATTCAGGTGTCTGAAGAGATTTTCCGACCCGAAAAAGTCCATCGAAAATTTCCGACGGATATTGTTCCACCGGAAAATTCCGACAGAATTTCCGTCGGAAAAGTCAATAAAAAAACAAATAAAAAACAACCCCACCCCTAAACCGTACCCCCTTCGCTCCTAAGCCACCATCAAAATTTACCCCACCAACATCGCAATTCACCCACCACCACCGCTTAAATACACCCCATCACTATCAAAACCACCCACCACCACCCAAATCCACCACCAAAACCTGTAACCTATAACCGAAACCACCCCAACCAAAACCAAAACCGCAGCAAACAAAAATAAACGAAAATTATCATAAAAAACAACGAAAATTACCCAAAACACTTCAAAAATATACAATTATTTAACAAAATTTATACATTAACATTACAATGACATCAATAATTAGCTAAAATCAGAATTTAAAAGGGAAAAAAAAAAGCTAGATCTACAATTTAACCTAAATTAAAAAAGATGTACAATACGGCAGTGTTGTTGCGATGGTGGCTTTTGTTGCGCAGTTGTTCTGCGATGTTGGTGTTGTTCTTAACGCTAGTGGTTGTTGTTGTTGTCGGTGTTGGCGCTGACGTTGGTGGTTCTTATTGTTGTTGTTGCGGTGTCGTCAGTCATGGTTTGAGATAGGAGGAAGAGAAAGAGGGGAAAGAACAGGTGAGAAGGAAGAGGCGAGAAGAAGCAGGCAATGTTGGTAGTTGTTGTTTCGGTGGTTAGAAAGAGGAGAGAAGGAAGAGGAGAGAAGGAGAAGATGCAGAAGAGAAGAAGGGAAAGAGAAGGAAATACGGAGAGAGAAAGAAAAAGGGGAAAGACATAAATAAAGAGGAGGAAAGTCAAAGGGGGGATGGGAGCTGCTACATTAGGGTTTGTGGTTTTAAAGAGTTTTGTTTTTTTTTTAAATAAGATTCCGACGGAAATAATAATTTACGATGGAAAAATTCGTCAGAATGTATATATATTCCGACGAATTTTTATTTCTTCGGTATTTTGCGACGCAACTGTTGAATTCGTCGGAATTTTCGATTTTTCCAACGGAATTCCGTGTCCGTCGAAACCCATCCGTCGAAAATAGGTTATTTTCTTGTAGTGTTCGATTTTCGAAAAACGGATTTTTAACGGTTCGGTTTCTTTTTGGATCGGTTCAAAACAGTCGAGTTTAATGGTTTAGGTTAGAAATTGACAGCTCTATATATATGAATGAAGTTTTTTTTAATCACTGCTCATACTTTATACGAAGTATGTTACTCCCTCTGTCCCATAATATAGTTCTTGTTTGTGTTTTTTCATGGTATTTAAGAAATAGGAGGAAAAAGTGGATGAAGTACATTAATAAAAGTGAAAAGTATAATCATAAACAAGAGTTAGAAAGAAAAAGCGGAAAAAAGTACAAGGCATGTGCAAAATTCAAGGGTAATTTAGGAAGTACAATGAATAAAGTTAAAAAGTGAGGATGTAATGATCTTTACATACTATCCAAAAATAGAAATAGAAACAATATTTTAGATCTCCAAAATAGGAAAACAGGAACTATATTATGAGATGGAGGAAGTACTAAAAAAGTATGTTACTAAATTAATATTTTTTTTTAATGCATGTTTATAAAGTTGGTCATTTGGATAACAAGATAAAGTTTTATGAAAGATAACAAAGTAGAATTTGATATATAGATGTGTATATATATATCTAATTTTGGTACAACCCATAAAAATCTACTTCCTCCGTTTTTTTATATTTGCAACAGTTTGACTTTTACACTGTTCACGTACTCTACTTTGACTAGTTTTAATGATTTATGGTTAAACAAAAATATAGTCATGTGAGATACTGTTAGATTCATTTCGATTTATACTATTTTAATATCTCATGTTCATAATTTTTACATATTTACAATTAAAGATATTAACAATTGAAATATTGTATTGAGCGTGAAAAGAGAAGTGTTGCAAGTATAAAAAAAAACAGAGAAAGTACAAACTAATTTAAATTGACTGAAATATTAAGTTATTACGTAGCTTATTCTTCCTATGCGTTGATGATTAACCATCTCTACTCATGACTCTTAGAGCAATGAAAATGGAACAAGAAAAAGTCAAAATATGAACAAGACAAAAAATAAAAAATAAAAAAAAAAAAAAAAAAATAAATAAATTGAAGTAGAAGAATTTTGTAAGAAAATACTCCTACGGTAAATTTCAAATTATGAAAAACTTTTTGAAACAAATGGATTTAAAAAACAAATTACAATAATCTTAATCTGCACTATTGTTTTTAAACTATCAATAGTCTATAGCTTGACTTGAAATAATATATTGCTTGTCTGTTGCCTTGTTGGTGGCTATGTTGATAGGTCAGGAGCTGATTTGAGTATGTTGCGGGACTAATTTGACCTAAAAAAAACGAGTTAAAACTCATATGAGACTAACTTGAGAAGGTAAATCATAATGATATGTTTATTTTTAACTAGTTAGATAATTAAAATTGATGATACTTTTGGAAGAGAAGTAAAAATGTTTGGAATATATCTGTAAAATTTCTTATACTATTATGACCGATCTTATTCATATTTTATACAGAATGCTTCACTTGACGCAACTTGATATTTTGACCGATCTTTCTATGTATCTAGGTGGAAAATGAATGTTCCAAAGTTAAAAACGAGTACATATTGCTTTATAGATAAGCAATGAATGGTGGTGGTAGCTAATTTAGGCGTATAATTCCTTTTGCAAGTGAAGTGAACCGAGCAAATCTAGACCTAAGAAGATGGTCCATGTGACCATGCAAAAGTAGGTACGGTGAATGGTATGCACCTTTGCTTTTAAAAGTGTAAAGAAATGTTTGATTACAACATCCACAAAAACCCAAACTACATTGAATTGAAATGGATGTTGCAAGATAAAATGGTATCCAATATACTGTATGATTGCTTAAGATTAGTTGTATCACCTTATTTTAAGGTATGGAAGAAGGCGCTCTACTAAATCGAAACCTCGCACAGATTAATTTAATTCATATAAGGGTTTAAGCTAGTTTCTGTATGAGTGAGGAGGATAAGAAAATTTAATTTCTACCTCTAAATGTCTTTAATAAGAATAAAATCTATATGTTTAAAGTAAGTTATGAAATACAACTCTTAACACTAGACCAAGTATTACTCTTATCAAGTCACGATTTGAGACAAGAGAATAGATGTATATGGACCGACCTATGCAAAAGTGCAAAATTTTTAACTACTTGCATTTGTTCTTCAAAGGTGATCACGAGCGTGGATAACAACATCCAATAGAATGAATAGACCAATTAGAGTGAATAAACCAATATTCACACGAGACAAAAATAGAAGGAAATTATAAAAGGTATTGGAGAAAAAAAAAATTATGTATATAGCGAGACTCAACTACAACTACAACTACAATTATGAGCATAAATCTTTTAAGCCATTTAGCTGATATGAAAGTTAGGACTACTTTATTACATTTGTGTAAAAAATGTCAGCTGAAAAGAGGACAAAACAATTAGAGACAATGTATGAATCTATAGCTAGGTATGGATTTACCTACGTTGCTTTTGCATATGTAATTGCGCGAGTATTCAACTTTCAATGTATCGAATGGGTTTGTAGCTCAGTATGATATCTACAAAGTAAGTAGCCACCAACAAGATTTTATAAATTTGTAAACTATTACTACCTCCGTTTCATGTTATTTGCAACTTAGGTGTATTATTTATGAGACATAAAATATTCTAAAGTTGCAAATAATATATAATGGAGGCAGTATTTGGATCCAATTCATGAGACAATCGAATGTAATGTACAACGAATGGACATTCATCTAGCAAGGCTACCCTCCTCTTAGATCTTAAAAAACTATGACTACATGTGGTATTTACACAGTATTGCGAGAAGACGTTCCTAATCTCTAACTTGTATCTTACATTTTTTTTACAAAAATATATGTACTACATATATACAAATTAGCAAATACAATAATAGCCAAAAATGTCATTTTTTTTTTCACGGGGTGTAGACGCCTACATAATTTACAACTTTAATAAAGGAAATTTTTTATTGTTTCTAAGAAACATATAGCCAAACAGCCAATGGCCCAATAAGTTTCGAAACACCATAACAAACCCCAAATGACACGTTATATAATTTGGATTTATTCAATCACATAATTGAGATTGAAACAAGCATTCGCTTGCATTGGTTGCAACCTGTAAAATATGAGGTAATACAATTTCAATTGTCTTTAATTAAAAAAATCCAGAATCTTGAAAAGATAACCTCCAATATTCTATGAGATTCTCATAGTATAAATACCACTCACACAACTCTACTCATTTTTCACAACTCAACCCAAAAACAATAGAGAAAAAAAAAACATTCATCAATGAAGATATTCTCAACTTTCTTTTCTCTCTTCTTTTTCCTCTTACCAATTCTAGCTTCCTCCTCTGATAAACAGGTTCGTCGCGATAACGATTAAATCGATAGCTTTCGACCCGTGCCATAGTATGGGTCTAGGGTATTGATACCTAGCATATATGTATCTAATATGATATGGACTTGTGCTAACGTTTTGTTCAAATTTTAAAATTTGGTACATATTTTTTTTATAATATGGTATGATATAATTGACAGGTTTATATAGTATACTTTGGAGAGCATAAAGGAGATAAAGAATCGCATGAAATTGAAGAAATTCATCACTCTTACTTGTCCTCTGTCAAGGAAACAGAGGAAGAGGCCAGGGCATCTATGCTTTATAGTTATAAGCATAGTATTAATGGCTTTGCTGCAACTCTTACCCCTGCTCAAGCCTCCTATTTATCGAGTAAGCGATTTATTCCTTTCGTTGTCTTTTATTTGCTCGTTTTCGACTCTAGAGTCAAATTCAACTTTTGTTTAATTTGATTTTATGAAATATTTCCTTAAATTTAATGAAATAGTCACGTAATTAGTGTGATTGTGGAATATAATTAATGTTTATGGTTATCATAATGGATAATAATGATTTGTGGAATATAATTTGAAATGAAATATCTGGTCACTATTAAGGGGAGAAAATCTAGCCAATACTAGTTGATTACTGATTTTACTCAACTAAAATTTTACAATACTGATGTTGGTGTTGATGTTACTTGTGACAAAATTTCTTAAAATATTTATTGGTTAAAAAGCTACGTAGCATTAAAATATAAAAATCGACGCTTTTTTTTCATATGACAGTTTGATATACATTATACTACATAATATGTGTTGATAATTATCAATAAATAAAAATTATAAGTATTTGATATCTTGAATTTAATTATAACAAGATCACTAATTTTTCATTAATTTTTTATTCTCTTGGAATAAAGAATTTGAATTATACTAAAGTTAAAAATAAAAATAGTTTTAATCCTATTAGTATTTTTTTTTTTTTTTGGTTTATACACGATATGAAGATTAATATTTTGAGGATAAAATGAATTTGTATTGCCATTTTTATAGAATTGGACGAGGTGGTGTCAGTGTTTGAAAGTCATCCAATGAAGCACAAAATGCACACAACAAGGTCATGGCAATTCGTAGGTTTGGAGGAAGGAATTAATACACAGTTGCACTCTCAGTCGGAAAACAGTGAAGGTTTGCTATCAAGAGCCAAGTATGGACACAATGTCATCGTTGGCGTCTTAGATAGTGGTATGTTCTTATCTCTTCGTCTAAAATTAATAGAGATAATTAAATTCTTATCTCTTTGTCTAAAACTTATAATCATGTTAATAGTATTAATTGATTTGATACAACTGACAATGTGACATTTAAATTTGATTTGAGATCGTATTTTAATTTACGGTATGTTATAATATTTTTTCCTCATGCACTTTGAAATTGGAATCAAATATTGCATGGATATAATGATTGCAACATGCAATCAGAAAAGAATCACAAGTCATCCTTGGACTTTCCGTTGGACTTTATATGGTCTTCAATTTTCTTCCAATGAAGAGAATAAGAATAAATCTATCAAAAAGTTTTAGGCCTATCTTTTAAAAGTTGTTCATCTTTTTCGGAAGAGATTATGCTATATCCAAAACTACTAATAAAGAAAATTCATTTCCTATTCTTTTTCTCCAAGCCAAGAAATATAATGGACCATGACTTATTTTTAGCATCTTTTTCGGAAAAGAAAAAAAAAATCTAAGATATATTTCTTCTAATTTTAATAAATTAAAAATATTGATAAACAAATTGATTGTCACACATCAACACTCATCATAGTGTCCTTTACTCCAATGGGTGCTATTCCATTGTCTTTGGCCTCCCAAACGTAGTCTTTACACGAAACTGCAAAGTAGATCCTAAATTAATGCAAACACTAAAAAGCATGGCAAATAAACCTCCTAAAATTATTTCTATTAATTTTAATAAATAAAAATACATTACTTGTGATCTATTAATCTATATTCGATAAATCTTATAAAACTTGTACATATCAATTAACGTAAGATTTTAGTTTAAGATGATTTTATAAATTTAAATCTTATAATCCTATTTTTATATTGTATATGCTCACTTTGAATACTTTGACAAAGAAGGTCATTAATATACAAATAATAAAAATAAAATAAAATAAAAAGAAAAGAAAACAAACAAAATCATTTAAAATGTTATTAAGTTCATTTAAGTTTATATTTATAATTTCAAATTTTTATAATTTGTTTATAAGACAATATATTATGGGATGAAGATATAATAATAATAATAATAATAATAATAATAATAATAATAATAATAATAATAATAATAATAATAATAATAATAATAGTCATTTTTGTAAAAATTTTAACCACTCTAAGCAAACTCTTATAAAAATTAAAAATAAATTAAATTGGATAATTTAAAAAATAAAAAATAAACTTCTTATACAATAAATCTATCAAACATCCACATTTACGACGAAGTGAAATAAATAATTTACTCTTTAATCTCATATTTGTACATTAATTAATACGTATAGTATACATTCTATTAAGTTAAGTGTAAAATTATTCTGCTTACGAGATCTCACAGAAAAAGAGGCAAGCAACATACAGAGATTGAGAGAATTATTCACGCACTTCATGAAAAAGGTGGATAGAATATTCTGTACGCAAATTCACCTAAATCTAGTCTTATGTGTGCCAATTATATGTTTAATCTTAATATCCTTAGTATTTTTTTGCTGATTCCCAATTATCTCCGTCATCCATTCATGAAAAAGATTAATATAATCCGTAGTATTAAATAATTTATTTAAATTAAATCAACACGGCATTTATCTCTCCAAAAAGATAAGGTAATTCATACCGTATAGTATTATATACATTAACAAATTTTATCATATTATAAGGATGCTTATTTTAAGTTTGATAAACGAACTAGCTAGCATAATTGTACAAAAATCTTTACTCTTGCTAAAGTGTAATGTTAGCAATACGATTTATTGTACACTCAATCTCATTATAATATTATTGTCTCAATCTTAATAGTCTCGAATCACATAATTTGATTAGTTTTGGTTTTTTTTTTTTTTTCAAAAAAAAAAAAAAAAAAAAAAAAAAAAAAAATCATATACGTTGTATGTTATATATATTTTTAGTTTAAATAAGAAATATACACTTATTTCTCAATATAGATATACTAAACATAAGAAATAAGGTAATCCTATCGTTTAATATAGTTCACCTTGAAAAAAGGGGTTAGATGAGAATCGATCATGTGACCTTTGTGCATGTTACGTTAATCTCTGATACCTGTTAGAGAATATATCTATCAACATATTCTTTTGGTTATTATCATTGTTAAGAAGATGACGTTAGTCTCATAATGTAGCCGAGAAGTCGACCTCCCTCTTGTCAAGTATGTCAACTACGTACGCATATATAAGATGACATAATACTATTGTATTTTATTATCTATGATGCAATTTTTCTCCCATCAATTTTTAGTTCTAAAATTGTATAATAAGTGCTTATTTTATAGTAAGTATTATGAATAAATTGGTGGATTGTTTTCTAATATGACTATCCATAACCTTGGTTATATTTACTAATCTCGCTATGAATTATATCCATGAATTATACAATATCAAGTACTTTGTAAACATTTATATAAAACGTTAAGATCAGCACTATTGTTTAAGATTAGAGGGAGTTACAAATAATAATGATTGACATGTAATTCAGGATTTTGGCCAGAATCAAAGAGCTATAGTGACGATGGAATGGGACCAATCCCTAAATCATGGAAAGGTATCTGCCAAACTGGTGATGCTTTCAACTCCTCTCATTGTAATAGGTCAGTTCACCTTTCCTTTCTTTTTTGGTTATTTCTCACAACTTACAATTATCATTTCAATATTCTATATATATGAAATGACCATTCAACTAATTTATATTATTAGCATCATTTTTTCATATTGTTATACGTCGTATTTAAATTATTTCGACTTAGGGACTAATCATTTGGAACGAAGATAATTTTATGAAATAATGTACTAGTATATTAAGATGAAAATTATACTCACATTGTCATATTACAATGAAATTATTGTGAGCCGATGACAAGTAATTTAATTGGTTACAGTCTTATTATAAAGTAAAATCGTAGACTTGAGATTAAATTTTGTCTTACACTATCATCCTTATGAGTTAGGATTTTTTTTTCACGGGATTATGATAAATGGTGAAACTAGAAATTTGTTTAAATCCATTCTTAGTACTAATTACATATGAAGCCTAGGACTTTCTTTAGAAGAAATCCCGTGACCCGAAATTGTAGTGAAGTGCATACAATATGACCCACCACACATACTGATCTTACTCTAGTTGTTTGGACATGCTTTGGGATGCCCCAATTACCAACTTGATACGTTTAATTACTTATTATTATTATGGGTGTATTTTCCCATATATTTATATTTCATGTGAGCCCTGTTACTACATGCATTGATGCAGAACTATTGACCACTACTATACAACTCTTTTGTTACTTTGCTTATAGACAAAGTTTGGTATCAAACAAACCCCTAAAAAGTACTACTTGTTCCAACTTAATCAAAGGATTGAGTTTCATGAGCAACAATATTGAAAAGGAGAGCTTTTTTAATTTTCAATTTGACCTTCGACCCATCTTGAATTCTAATTAGTTAAACTTAGAAAGACCATAGAACATACACATATCCAAAGATAATTTAAATTATTTGTACGAGAACATACAAGGCTACACAATACATCATATGTGGCATGATCGCAATCACATATATAAATATTATTTTTTGGTTAATGATCACCTTATCAAATTATTAGATAATTATTCAATAATTATATTTATTCACGATTACCTAATCAAATCTTTTCCGGAATTAGATCTCAATTTGCAAAGTATGCTCTCAACATTTTTTACTATATTATATCAAATTTAATCTAACTAATTTAAGATGTTGGAGTGAGGCAGACACTTATGACTCTATAAGCTATGAACATGTAATGTCCTTATCCATACGTGTACCACTGCATATTCCTCTTTAATATCATAAAGATAGATTGCCTTTCCTAAGTGCATATATTAATGCGTGACAACAACATTTTTAGCAAACAGACTAATTAATTAATTCATGAAATGGAAGAGCTAAAGCCTATGATATGTACTTCATTTGTTCCTATTTAGTTAATTAACATACATCGACCTTTAACAAAATTTTAACTTTTAATATTTTAAATTATTAATTAATTAGCAAAAAAAATAAATAATTGATAATTTAAAAATATATAATAAGATAATTTACTTATGAACAATCGTTTTTATAATTAGCTAAAAAAATAATTAAGTTATGTTAAAAGTCGAAGTGTGTAAAGTAGACAAGTACAAAAAGAAGTCTTTTGTAGATACGCTAATTGTATTGACCTTTCTTGTTGATAATGTTAGGTATGGTACATCTATCTAAGTATCATTCCTAGTCTATTGATGGCCGCAATTCCTTTTTCTTTCCATGAAAAAGGTTCCTTTTTCTTGAACTAAAGAATGATCACATGAAATGTTTGGTGAATCATGCTCACATGTATGATTTAAAGAAACTTGTTTTCTTGGCTTGTGAACTAGTATTAGCATCCTTCCCAACAATCCCCGAAAAAAAAGCACAAAAATATTAAACATAAATTTAAAAAAAAAAATATTTCTTTTATATTTTAATCTTAATATTCTTTCATGATTTTCAATAATTGATTATTAAAATAATAGTGATCCAATTATAGAAAAACTTGAAAATTGTAATCATTCCTTTCAATTTTTTTTTTTCTTTTTTGGTTAAGTACTGTCACTTTAATTTTTTGCAATATTCACATACTTTATTAGGACTAGTATTGATGATTTATATATAAGAAAAAAAAACAAAAAAAATTATCCCGATGTATATGTTTTGAGTATCAACCTTAGTAATTATTAAAGATATCATATATAAAAGTTACACTTTATCATATGTGCCCAATCAAAGTGGATCACTTAGAAAATAAATGAAATACAATTAAAATTCAACAAATAGGATGTTCTAGAAAAAGTTAACAAAGAATGTTTCATACACTGAAAATAAAATAAATTAAAAAGGATCTTCGATCATTGAAGCTCATGGGAGCTTTTCCCAATTAATTTGCTTGACCTATTAGGTATAAATTATTAATACGTTGGATTCGGATATAAAAATTGCCACATTAATAAGTATTGATACTTTCCACTAGAATTGTCATACTTGTAAGTTGTACTACTTATAGATGTCAATGCGTCGGGCCGAGTAGTAGCCAAGTATTAATTTGTTCGAGCTGAGCTTATATGAAACACATAAGCTCCTACTCGAGCCAAGCTTAACCAAGCTGTATAGAGATGTCAATATGAGCCGAGCCATGCCGATCAAAGTATTAATTTGTTCGAGTTGAACTTGATATGAAACACATGAGCTCCAACTCGAGCCAAGCTTAGTTGTATTTTTTCTTGTCCGTGATTGAATCATTTAAGCTGTTTGTTATTCAAGCTTAATTAGGTCATAAATAGCTCGTTTTTATTATTCGAGCTCGAGCTTGAGACGAGCTAAAATAATACTTCCTCCATTCTAGTAATATTGTAACAACTGGACTTTTGCACTATTCATCATACTTGTTTGACCACAAATTATGATTTATACGTAAAGTAAAATATAGTCATGTGGGGTCTTGTTAGATTCGTCTCGTAAAATACTTTCACAATATCAACTTTTTATAATTTTTACTCTTATATAATTATAGATATTTAACATATAAAATGTCTTTGAAAAGCGTAATTTGCAATATTTGTGGAACAGAGGAAGTATAGATTAACTTTATATAAATGAGCCTTGAAAAACAAGCAAGATCTAATCTAAAATGGGTATATTAATTGCTTATGTGATGAATTTATAAGTGATTATAATTAACAAATACATTAATACTCGTAAGAAATAAGAATATAATTTAGGGTCTTGGTAGAATTAAGGGAAAACAAGCATAATAGGTTTGATTAACTAAAACAACCACCATTGTACCAATATTCACACTAAAAATCATAAGAAATACTTACAAGCCTAGTAGTTAGTTTTAAGTAATAATAAATACTAAAAGTTTTCACTAACTTGCCAAGTTATAAGTAACTTTTGCCGTTTGATTTATACAAAAAATGTTTTACCTTACTAATGTTTTATACATTTGATTAAGGACTTTTGTCATTTGATGTATACAAAAATTGTTATGTAAATAATCTAATTCCCTTGTTGAATTTGATCCATGGCAGGAAAGTGATAGGGGCTCGATACTACATAAAGGCCTACGAGAGCGTCTATGGTCCATTAGACCGAAAGCTAGACTACCTCTCACCCCGCGACAAAGATGGGCATGGAACACACACTAGCTCCACCGTAGGAGGCCGAACAGTCCCTGATGCCGCCTTCATGGGCGCATTAGCGGAGGGCACAGCCTCCGGGGGTGCACCACTAGTCCAACTAGCAATATACAAGGTATGCTGGGCAATACCAGCGCATGACAAGGTTGATGGAAACACATGCTTTGATGCAGACATGTTGGCTGCTATGGATGATGCTATCAATGACGGCGTACATGTCATGAGCATTTCGATTGGGACACCGAAGCCAGTGGGGTATTCGCAGGATGGCATTGCTATTGGAGCTTTGCACGCGGTTAAGAAGGGTATTGTAGTGTCTTGTAGTGCTGGGAATTCAGGACCTCAGGCAGGGACATTGTCCAACACTGCGCCGTGGGTTATTACTGTTGGGGCTAGCAGTTTGGATAGGGAGTTTAGTGCTCCTGTTGTACTTGGTAATGGAATGGTCATTCAGGTAATTTATGATCATGTTGCTTCTTGAACGCCATAGTAGTCCCTCCTTTCTATATACGAGTTATCTTCACTAACAAACTTTTCTCGTTTCATATTATCTGTCACTTCATATATCAATGTGGTTTACTCAGCGCGCAATCACTTGCCAATTATTTTTTTCAAAGGCATGTCATATTTTTGTAGTTTTGTTTTGATTATGATGAATCTTATGTTATTTTTGCAGGGTCAGACAACTACCACTTTTCGATTGGACAATGTTACATATCCACTAGTTTATGCAGGAGATATTAGTTTACCCAATGTCACCCAAGAATTAGCTGGGTAAGTAGCTGTTTTTATGTTATTTTTGCCTGTTTGTTTGTTGATATAATTTTACAATAATGTAACGCTTCAATTTGTGCATTTTTCGACAGGCAATGCCTTCCTAATAGTCTATCATCTGAAAAAGCAGACGGTAATATAGTGTTTTGCTTAAGAGGAAATGGAACAAGGGTTGGTAAAGGGATGGAGGTTATGAGGGCAGGCGGCATTGGCTACATCTTAGGCAATGCTAAAGGCCAAGGAGAAGAGGTTGTGGCCGATCCCCATGTTCTTCCTGCAACTGCTGTGGGTGAGTATGAAGCCATGGAAATCCTCAACTACATCAAATCTACAAGATATCCGGCTGCCAAGATCCTGCCAGCAACGACAGTGGTAGGCACATCACCAGCACCTTTCATGGCCTCTTTCACTAGTAGGGGACCTAATGTCGTCGATCCAACTATTCTCAAGGTACATCCATGACCTTTTGTCCTTTTCAGACTTGAAAAACTCCCAAGCTTTCATACTTTGCTTGATACGAAGTATATATGGTAATTACTTGCAGCCTGATATTACCGCCCCTGGATTAAACATATTGGCAGCATGGAGTGAAGAAGATTCACCAACTAAGTTGGCTGCAGATGACAGGAGAGTACAGTGGAATATTTACTCAGGAACATCAATGTCCTGCCCTCATGTATCTGCTGCTGCTGCGCTCCTCAAAGCTGTCCATCCTACTTGGAGCTCTGCTGCCATTCGATCTGCACTCATGACCACAGGTAGCAACATACTTTACACTATCACCTCTGCAGTAGCACTATCAAAAGTTTGATACACATTTCAAAAATTCACATTGTTTACCTAAACTTTTTTCTTCTTCATACAGCTGGTCTGAAGAACAACAATGAATCTCTCATAACTGATTCTATGGGCAACCCAGCAAACGCCTTTCAATACGGAGCAGGTCACTTCCGACCCACAAAAGCAGCTGACCCCGGTCTAGTGTATGATGCATCTTACACTGACTACTTGACTTACCTCTGCAGCTTAAGGATGCCAGGTTTCGACCCATCATTCAAATGCCCACAAAACCTACCTAAGACTAATGACTTAAACCAGCCTTCCCTTGCAATCTCCAAGCTCAGTGGAAGAGTGACAGTCACTAGGACAGTTACAAATGTTGGTAAAGGCAGAAGTTATTACTTTGCTTCAGTGAAGCCACCAATGGGATACAACGTCAATATCTCACCAAGTATATTGATATTCAGACATAAGGGGCAGAAGAAAAGCTTCAGTATCACAGTTGAGAAAGATGCATATTCCAATAGCCAAGCGAGTGGACAGGAGTATGAATTCGGGTGGCTGACTTGGTTTGATGGAATTCATACAGTGAGGAGTCCCATAGCTGTGTCTTCTGTATAAGGAAGAATTTTGGACTTCAGGGGCTTATACCTTCCTTGGTTTTTAAACTGAAAAGAAAGTTTAGAAGTTTCAAGGCACAATGGAATAGAATTAGGGTACAATAGAATGTTTACTTATAGTTTTTCTTTTTTAACAGCCTAATTAAACCTGTGAGTTTTATAGGTTCTCCATCAATAGTAACATATCAAGCCTTCTTTAAATGCCCCTTACAAGATTGTTCTGTAGCTGCGTTGACAGTGTCATCTATTTCTCACACACACAAGGTAGACATGTTTTCTTAAAATTTAAAGGAGTACGATGTATTGTAGAGTAATTACCTGTAAGACTTTACCATACATGACGGCTAATAATGGACAAAACGTCGAAGTTGAAGCACAAAGGCAGGATATTGATTTGTCTTGCAAGAATCTAATATTCCAGCACGTAAGCACAGAGGTTGTAGAACACCGTGTGTTGAAGGCGATATTAAACACTCAATAGGCTGACGAAATGCAAGAAAATTGAGGATATGCTCGGCATGAACTAGGGTCAGCATTGAGATCAACTAAATAAAGAAATTTATGTAACTCTGGTTTGTGATGAACAGTCGCAAAAATCATGTGCATCAACCTATGTATTAACCTGAATAAAAAAGTAAAAATACATATACAAAAAGCTAATGGCAGTAGTTTATCCAAAAAGCTAATGGGTAAAGATATAGACAAAGTTGGGTTAAATTGAATCCTCAACAAATTCCTGATTTCCAACTCAAGAATTCTACATTCAGATACCTCAGTCTCCAGCAGCTCAAACATAATCATTGAATGCAAGTTATTTTGAAGATGCTTCACCTAACTTGTCCAAGACTCTTGAATAATACTGGCCTCTCGAAAATGAACATTCAACCGACAGCAGAGATGTAGAAACTAGGAGTTTCACAAGCAGAGCATGCATACTACAGTCAACAGAATACAGCCTCTCATTGACTTATGTAAATTGTTTTCAATTTGGCTCGGAGAACATTCTTTTTTGCACAAGCAGCAGACAAACGCTAATTCAACTAGGAATCAACCAACAGATCTCTCCTTACTTTGACTCTTTCTCCTTTAAAATGGATATATTTCCATTTACAACCATACCTTTTAATGACCAAATTCTTCTTATCTTCTTGTCCCAGTCTCTCAAAGGTTCGTGCTACCCTCCTGACTGTATCCTCGTCCGGTTTGACACCCAATTCTTCCATGTCTGCCAAGACCTGGGTTTTGCAAAGACACGGAAAATCAGATGCAATTGATAAAAGTAACCATATGAGTGTTAACACCAGTAAAATATGGATGTGTCTAAATGCTAGTTATTACAAACTCCATTTCTAAGTTTGTACTTTGGATTAAACCAGAACAGAAATTTATACCGTTGAGCACAAAAACACAAGGATGTGTTAGGCCAGGAAATCAAAGAAATCCAAAACCAGCACAAAGTGAGGCAACACATACAAATATGAACACAGAACAAAGAAACACGAGGGATGACAATCTAAGGCTTTACGGTGCCTCTATTGTTTAGGTATTATGGAAACCAATATGTTGAAGAGGTTATGCAGAAACGTTTTTTTAAGGGATGGAAGAGCTATGTGGGAGTGAAAAAAAAGTAACAAAATACAAAGTGACAAAAGGACAAAAGCTGAAGCAACAATGCGATATTTGTCTAGCAAATGCAGTGACGAAATCGAGTTTTCTAGAGCAATGTAACTAACATGGTGTTGACGATAGGACTTCAGGGTGTCTTCATAGACCTCCTAAAAAAACTTTTAGTGGGGAATTTATCTTTTCTTCGGTAAATGATACCCCTGACAGTATCCTAGGTGATTCTCTGGACCTTAAGCAACACTAAGAGCTTGGCCTCTTAAATCTAATGCTAATATGCTTCAGCGCTTCACCACTTAGTAAGAAAAAACAAAAAAAAAAACACCTCGCAATATTTAAAGGTATTTAAACATTGGATTGTACCAGGGTACCACAAGAACAAAAAAGGTGGAAAACGTATAAATGAGTCTTTCAGACGAATATCAGAACACTATAAAAACCAATATATCATAGGCAACAAATAACAAAAATGAGATTTTTAGTTACCTCTATCACTTTCTCTGGTATATCGTGATGATCGTATAAGGAAATCATCCGAGAAAACAACCGCTTCGAAATAGATCGTGTGTGGGTATGTAAAATCATATTCCACAAAGATCCAGCTTCATCTATTCTCTCCTCCATGTCAAAAGCCAACAAGACTGTATCATATGTTGCCATGGTTGTACCTTGGCCCTTACACAACATCCACTTGACAACCTATACGGCACCAAGAACCAGTAAACAGTTCATTTCTGCACCATTTATCGCATAATCCACCTCAACTTCTAGTTAGATGACACCGACAAAAGAGATGAAAATGCAACTTTAGGCTTGAGATCTTAGCACATTATACTTAAGTAAATTATTATTTTGCTATGCAAAAAATATATGTTTGGGTCATCTCACATTTATTAATGGACAAATATTCACACTTCCATCTAAATAACTGGATCAACATGACATCATCATTATTTAAAAGTTTAAATTAATGATATGTACAAATTTTATGCATCCTGAACAAGTTTCAGCACTGTTCCTATACTATCAATTTCTAAAAGGAGCCCATAGGAAGAGATTAGCCAATTAGCAGTGATCCAACACGACACCATCTTTGTATTAATTTCTCACAAATGCTTGACACTAATACCCCTGTAAATTTCCACTTTATAGATTATACGCATGCAAATTTAACTTCCATTGAGAATTTCAGCAAAGCATAACCCAGTTGATCCTTAACATCTGTATTAAACAAACAAATGGGGTGTTTAATTAGCTATCAAGTACGGATAGGAGAAATGAAAGGGTGAGAAAAATATAGAAGATTAAACCTCTTGAACAGCACATTGTGTTTGGCAGATTAAGATGACAGTGGGGTTGAGATTTGACTCCATTTGAGGTGGTTGTTAGGGCTGCCAAGGCCGAGCAGTGGTGGGATCAGGTTGTTGGGGGTTGGTCGGGTAATCACCTAACTCCCCTGTGAACAGCAAGCCAACAAAGGCTACAAAAATACATCAAACTGGCATATTTTGCCCTAATTTAACAATACAAGGTACCAAATTGCATAGTCGATTAGTCGTATCCAATCTCATACTAGTGAATTGGGTAACACTTGGCCAGTGATTGTTACAAGTAATGGACTGGAGTGAGGATAGTGCATAGACTGGTGGTCAATGCTGGTAAAACGTATGGTGAAGACTTAAGAGGAGCTTGGGGTTTTTCAAGTACCTAGGAGATAAGAACCAAATTGGAAGAATTTAAGGGAGCTCATATTGAGTGAAAGGGAAGGAATTTTAAAAAAGAAAAAACACCATTCAGATATTTTCTAAGGAGATAAAGGGTCTACACTGCAATTGCCTTTCTTGATTACCAGATATGGGGATCTAGTGAAGGGCCGGGGGGGGGGGGGGGGGGGGTTGGTTGATCTCTTCATTGAACATTTGAAAGGGTTTTACCAGAATTTACTAAGAATCTCCTCCATTTGACTTCCATGACCAGCAATTATTTAACTTTGGTGCTTTAGTGGAAGGAGAAATGGGAAGAAAGAGGGACAAAAAAATATATTATTCTTTAATCAAAATGAGGGTTTGACTTTCAAACTTTGCATTATACGTAATCAAACCTGGTTTAAGGTATGGGGTTCTAGATAAGTTTTATCCCCATTCCAAATATCATACCTCATACCATAAGGTGAGTATATCTAAATAAACCATTTTCAATCTAATTTACTTCAAAAACAAAGATAACACAGTTTTTCAACTGAATTGGCAAAGCTGTGCTTTTTGACATTCATCAATATGTCAAATCAATAATGGGTTCTATCTGGTAACTAAATAGACACTTGAATTGGACCGAATAGAATTGATTGCCAGGCTATTGTTCTCTATGTTTTGTTTCCTCAAAGCCTAGAGTAAGACATCAATTTTTCAAAAAGATTCATTCTTTTGATTGCATGATGGACTTCCCTGAAAAACATTGGCAGCCCTTGTGTTTATGCTCCATATTTTAGTATGTAGATAATTTCTTGTCAAGAGAAATATTCTACGATATACCATCATAGCTCTTCGATCCGTTTGATTTCTATTGCTTATAATCAATCTATGGAATGGTTATATTTAGTCCTCTTTGTAATGATAAAAGGCCTACTTAACTCAGCGGTTAGAGTGTTGCTTTCATACGGTGGGAGTTAGTAGGTAAAACTTATTAGATACCAAAGTTAGAGTCGAGGGTATTTAATAAGTTTTTCTACTTACCCTTTGGATTATTAAGACTATTAAATAGATTCTCTTTTTCTTTTTATTTTGTTGATTCAATCAACAAAATAAAAAGAAAAAGAGATCTTCTATATATTTAGATTCCATATATAGAAAGAGTGTACAAACAGAACTTCTTCTAATTGCTAGCCTCTACTCGTGTCCTAGCTCGTCTCAAAGCTAAATTTGCTTCAATTACTTGTCTCTTTCCTTCCGCTTTCCTCAAGTTAGCTTCTGCTATTTCAAGAGTTTGCTGAGCTTCTTGCGAATCAATGTCACTACCCCTCTCAGCATCATTTACTAAAATCGTAATCTCATTATTGCCTATTCTAGCAAAACCGCCCATCAAAGCCATTGTTAACCATTGGTCGTTAAGACGTATTCTTAAAATTCCTATATCTACCGTTGTGGCAATAGGAGCATGGTTTGGTAATACACCAATTTGGCCACTATTAGTAGATAAAATGATTTCTTTTACTTCTGAATTACAAACACTTCAATTAGGAGTCCGTACACAAAGATTTAAAATCATTTCTTTAATTTGCTCTCCGTTTCTAAGTTCATAGCTTTCGCGGTAGCTTCGTCGATGTTACCTAGTTTTCTTATAAGGCTTGGGTTAGGTGTTAGATGGAAGCTTAAATGTTCCATCACCTACTGATTCTTCTTATAAGGCTTGGGTTAGGTGTAATGATCTGGTCATCGGATGGATATTGAGTGTTTTGGGATCAGTAACAAAGAAGAGTGTATTCTTCTATAAAACTGCTAGAGAGATTTGGAAGGATCTGGAGGAAAGATATGGTCAGGTTTCTTCAACTGAATTATATGGAATTCAAGAAGAAATCAGTGTTGTACATCAACGGAATGAGGAGATAGCTGAATTTTTTGCTAAGATCAAGGTCTTGTGGGATCAGCTGAATCATGTTAATCCT